GGGTGTTGTTATCAACCCTTTGAGCTATTTGATTTGCGGGAGCACTGGGAGGAACAAAGCCTCTTCCATTCACATTGTTGGAAGCACCTAACAATGCTTGCTTTAGTTTTGTCATGGTCTGGTCTTGTCTTGATTGATGGCCCGTGATGGCCTTTTGCTTCTCCTTTATGATCCTCACCGTCTCCGCAACATGCTCGTCATCAGGAGTTGTCTCTCGTACATCTCGGGGATAATGTCAGCCATGGATCGGAGTTGCCACATCCTCCTCGTTGTGGGTATCACTAATCGAATCCTCATTTTGAGGCAGATTTTCTTGCATCTCAACGTTGTGTGTGATGTTGACATCGTTAGCTGCCATTTTTTCGGATTTTTTATATGAAAAAAAAAAAAAGAATCAAACAAGTTAGTAAAAGATGCAAAGATCAACTCAGTTACGCAGCTGTCTAAGCCCCACGGTGGGCGCCAAACTGTTTACTCATGAAACGGTATTATTAAATTTATTGTGTGGTTTATAGACAAACGAACTAATTTGATCTAAAAAGGATAAATAAATTAAATAAAAATATAAGACTTAGCGTTGAAACCGAGATAAATAGCAGATAATCTGGTTCCGAGAGCAAGGCTTCTGAAGGTAGCAATAAGAACAATGTTAGATAGAAAATAAAGTATTATTTAGCTTTAGAATAATGTGTAGCATAAGTTTGTCAGAGATTTCGTCCCCTACAATGGTTGTTGAAGTCACTATTTATATATATACCTAGGGAACAAGATTCAAGGATCAAGCCCCTCTTAAATGATAATAAAGGAGGTCATTGATGAATATGTAACGGCGGGCATGAATGCCAACATTTTCTGCAACGGCTGTAAATTTAATACTGGGGAATATTCTTCATTAAATGTCACCCGGTGACAAATGTTCGTTTGCCTCCATTGATTGTGTTCCCTTCGAAATCTACCGGGTGTCAACTGAAGTTGTTATCCTTGGTTTTGGTCTCCACTCGCTTCATCTTACGTCTGCCTCTGATTCCACATGTCACGCTATTATTTGAGCATTTAATATAAACCAATTTTACCCTATACCTATATGTGATATTTAAACAACATATAGATTAACATAATGACGTTTTTCAGGTCAATTTTGACTCCAAACAATCCGAATCACTTCCAATATTCTTCAAATTTTATATATAACCTCGTCAACGACCTCCTGGTACAACTATGAAAAAGACGGTGATATTCACGCTGGTGGAAATTTGGAAAAGAAGATAGGTAATAGTGCAGCGACTAAGGTTTTTTTTGTCTTTGAGAGAGATCAAGAATTGCAGAGCTTTGTGCAAAGTGTGTGAGTCTAATTGGTTCTTTGTGCAGTGAGGTGTAGTGAAGAAATTGCGTTGTTGTTGTCGTTGATTGGGTCTGAGGTTTTGTTTTTGGGTATTGATTGCCAAATTGATCTTTTTGCTACATGGCTGCCAATTATTCTTCCAATGTGTAATATCCCTTTACTCAAAAGGTAGGCCTCTTCTAGGAAGCGGAGCTAGAGAGCGAGTTACGGGTTCGACCGAACCCAGTAACTTTGATTCAAATATTATATTTATTTAATGAAATTTATTAAATATGTATAAATTATTAATTTAAAAATAATTAGAATTTCGAACCCATAAACTTCAAATCGTGGCTCTACCTCTGCCTCTTCTTCTTTTAATTCTTATATATGGATAAGGCATCGAAGATTTTATAGAAATGACGAGGTTGAGAATTGAAGACTTAAAAGCCTACAGGAGTTGTTTAGTAATTGTTTAAGCATTTGATTAATTCTCACGATTATACGTTTACGATCTGTTTTTCTTTTTCCCTTCATCATCATATATGAGCTAGGAATGCAAGGGGATTCTTCCAAACTCATTCACCAAAAATTACACTATATATAAGGTTTATTTTTTATGTATACATAGCAAATATTGAATACAGAAGCAGACCCAAAATTTGAAGGTGATTGGGGCACATGAATGAACTGCTCAACTAGTACTCAAAATTTGAAGATTCTTCCGAACTCATTCAGCAAAAATTACACTGTAGATAAGGCTGTAATTATTATTATTATATATATATATAGGCAAAGCACACGAAAATCTTGGAATCGGATGGAATTCAAGTTTTATGACCATAAAACTCCAAAAAACGAGGAACGGTCATAGCAGCGTGGTGACTGTTGTTCCTTAGGTCATATTGGATGTCCTGAAATACTTTTAGGCGATCCGGTTTCGAGGGCCCACGGCGGAGAGTATGGGCTAAAACACACGAAAATATGGGAATCGGGCAGAATTCCAGTTTTATGACCGTAAAATACAAAAAAAAATGAGTAACGGTCATCGCTGGGCGGTGACTGTTATAGCATAGGTTGTATTTGATGTTCTGAGAAAATTTAAGGCGATCCGTGTCAGGGGGCCGGGCTAGAGAGAGAGAGAAAGAGAGAGGCAAACCAAGATTTGAAGGTGGTTGGGGAACAGGAGCAAATTGCTCAACTAGTGCCCCGATCAGACTTTTGAACTTAAGCGTTTCAAGCAAAATATATGACCGTTTTTAACATATATACACTTATATATTCAGAATTTTTGTTGAAATTAACGGGGTCTTGACACATCTTCTCTAACTATAGGTCCGCCTTTAATTGAATACACTAATTGGCTTCTTTGTGCCTATTTATTTATGTTTTGAATTCCCTTAATAAATATCCTAGCTTCATCGTTTTATTGTTCAACTCAATTCGAACCACAAAAAGAAATTGTGGCGTCCATCTTTCATTGACTCATTTGCTTTGGAGCAGACATCAACTCATTATTAAGACATTAACCAAAACAAGAAGAAAAAAAGAATGTCAATCCCATCATCTTTAAAAGGCATCATGTCGCGATACAATTGTAGATGTCTATTGATGACAAACAGGAGCGAGGCGCGTAATTGTATCTTCTTGAATACTAGCTCAGTCAGATTTTTTATTAAATGGAGTTAAAATTTTAAAAACTTTAATGAGATTTAACATATAGTATAATATACATAACAAAAAAAAATTACCTAATTACACAATACTTATAATTTTTCATCGAAGGGATGTCAATCAACATCCCTTAACTAGAGGTGGCTCCGCCATTGTTTCTTGAAGGTAGTTCAGAGTTGAGACATCTAGGTCACCAATTACTCTTTATTTTACAGAGTCAAAGAATTTTCTATCATGGAGAGTTCAACAAGGTCAAGATCCAGATGATGGATATTTCGAGGAAAATTAAAGAAGATAAATGAGATTTTGTACCTACCCCTAACTGGCAGACCGCTCCTTCAAACAAATAAAAGAATAATAAAAGAATTCCAAATTATATTGGATTTTTTGTTGATATGTCTTCTTTAATCTTGTTAGTCTTGATAAGGATAAGGATAAGGATAAGCACAGCTAAGATTCTCATTTGAATTCAAATTGTTGTATATATCTCCTAAACCTCTCTTCCTCATCTACAAAACTCCTATTACCAATGTACTTCTTCAGATATAAATGTACCCATTTACATGACTGAATAATACAAGTTGGAACACCAAACTATAAGTTGTGGCTAAGGCAAGACAATCTTGTTCGCAGTGCAATCATGGCCTCTGTCGATCCATCCATTGCGACGTTGATTGCTCAAGCAGCTACTGCGAAAAACGCATGGGACATTTTGCAAACGACCTATGTGAACAAATCTTAAGCAACAATTTTTGGTCTTCGTGAGTTACTCTCAAACATCAGGAGAGACTCCAAGCTAGCCAGCGACTACATGAAAGAAATTAAATCCATTTGTGGATGATTTGGCTGCCTATGGCTCACCTCTAACAAATGAGGAACTAGTCACCAAAGTTTTGAGCGGACTAGGAGCAGAATACAAAGAGATCTTCGCGGATATACGCGCTCGTGATAATCCCATATCTTTCGAAGAACTATTTGACAAACTTCTTGCTTATGAAGTTTTCGTCCAGCATTCAGAATCAAAGAATGAGCAGCCTATTATCACTGCAAATTTAGCCAGCAGTGCACCTCGTTCAACCAATCTAAAGGAAGAAACCACACTGGTTCTCAGCGAAGGGGAGGGCATTCCAATTTTATGCCTAACAACCGTAATTTTTCTGGACAAATGACCAACTCAAAGGCATTCAATAACAGGTCTAATCAACAAAGAGTGCAGTGCCAACTTTGCGACAAGTTTGGTCATATAGCTAAGGTGTGCCGCTCTTAATCTCACGAAGCACTTGAAGCTTAGGCAAATTTTACTAATCATGCAAACTACGTTATCAATCGCTCAAGTTCATGGATTGTTGACTCGGGGTCTTCTCACCATATCACAGATAATCCAAACTCCCTTCAGTATGCTACTCACTTTTCAGGCAATGAAGAAATCATCATCGGTGACGGTAAAGGAATACCAATTACTCATATTGGTCAAACTACATTTTTTTATGATAACACTAAGCCTTTTCATCTGCATAATGTTATTTGTTCTCCAAGAATCAAAAGAAATTTAATTTCAGTTGCTAAATTTTGTCGCTACAATCAAACATCTATTGAATTCTTTCCCTATTATTTTTGTGTAAAGGATTTGAATACGGGGGCACGCCTCCTGCAAGGACGGTGCAAAGGGGACCTCTATGAATGGCCAGCTGACAAGTCACAACATCGTCCATCTTCTCCTCTTGCTCACTTCACAACTACATCCACACCAACATTGCACCTATGGCATGCCAGACTTGGTCACCCTCAACCTAGAATAACGAAATCATTTGTTTCTTCCTTTAAGATTCACGTTGCTAGTAGTAGAGACGATTCCTTTACATTCTGTCATTCATGCTTATGCAATAAAAGTCATCGCCTTCCTTTTGGTGACAATTCCATTTGTAGTTCTAGACCTTTTGAATTTTTGTACTCTGATGTTTGGGGTCCTTCTCCTATTCACTCATTTGATAATTTTTGATTTTATGTGATTTTTTTGTGGATCACTATACAAAGTACACTTGGTTATTCCCATTAAAGAATAAATCAGATGTTCAAGGAGTATTTGTGAACTTTCTTAGAATGGTGAAAAACCAATTTCACCTTACTGTTGGCACACTCTATTCAGATGGGGTGGAGAATACATAAGCTTAAAATCTATCCTTACGCAGCATGGCATTCAACATCTCACTTGTCCTCCCTACACTCCTTAAATTGTTGGAACAGCTGAATGCAAGTATCGACATATCATAGATACTGCTCTAACTTTAATGCACCATGCATCTGTACCTTCATGTTTTTGGTCATTGGCTTGTCAAACAGCTGTCTACCTTATCAATATGATGCCTACTCCATTGCTCAAACTTCGTTCTCCTTTTCAATGCCTCTTTCACACATCCCCTAACCCTTTGCAATTAAGAGTTTTTGGTTGTTTATGTTACCCCTGGTTAAAACCATATAACAACAACAAACTTGCTCCTAAATCAAGACCTTGTGCTTTCATGGGATACTCACCTTCTACAAATAGTTATGCATGTCTTGATCTTTCAACCTCCAAAATATTCATCTCAAGACATGTCCTCTTTGTGGAACATATATTTCCATTAAAAAATAATCATCTAAGTCTTCCCAGAATAGAACCATCACTCTTGCACCAGTGGATCCACTCCACAGAACCAACCAATGTTTCTCCAGTACAAAACCAATCAGATATTGCCTTTGAACCTATCTCATTGCCTCCCTCAAACAACTCTCCTTGTCAGGATCCACCCATGGAAGGTTCACCGAGCTTGTCATTGCAGGATGATGCTTCACTTTCACTCGAGGTACGATCTTCTCCACCTTGTTCTTCTTCCACTACTATGCCTCTTTACTCTTCTTCTACCACACAAGTGGTACCTCTTCCTCCCTCAAGAATGGTGACGATATCTCAAAATAATGTCTTCAAGCCCAAATAAATTTTTAACTACCTTGCTATCTCGCCCAACAAAACACTGCCACTAGCACCTCATACAATTAAGCAAACAAACAAATATATTGAATGGCATGATGCAATGCAGGCTGAATACTCAACCCTTTTGAATAATGCTACTTGGTACCTAGTTCCTCCAACTTTATCACAAAATGTGATAGGCTGCAAGTGGGTATTTTGTGTGAAACACAATGCAAATGGATCAATCGAACGCTATAAAGCGCGTATAGTTGCAAAGGATTTTCACCAAAGACCGGGTGTTGATTTTCATTTTACCTTCAGTCCAGTCATTAAACATACCACCATTCGTCCAATTATCTCTTTAGCAGTGTCTTTCAGGTGGCCCTTACGACAACTAGATGTCAACAATGTCTTTCTCCAAGACACCTTGCATGAAGAAGTCTATATGCAACAACCTCCGGGATTCGTTGATTCTGTTTATCCTAATTATGTCTATAAACTTCATAAATCCATTTATGGACTTCGCCAAGCTCCAAGAGCTTGGTATACAAAGCTCAAGAACTTTCTTCTTTCATGTGGTTTCAGCAAAACTCATTCGGATAACTCATTGTTTGTCTGGTGTTGACACAATATCCTTATCTTTGTTATGGTGTATGTCGATGACATTGTTGTCAATGGTTCGTCAATCAAGCATGTCGACCACACCATCAAGTTGTTGGGCAACAGTTTCTCTATCAAAGATCTTGGATCTTTACATTTGTTTCTTGGTGTCGAAATCAATCCACATTTAGATGGTCTCTTACTTACTCAAAGCAATTACATTGCTGAGCTATTAGATAAATTTCACATGCTGGAAGCAAATGGTGTTGCTACTCCAATGTCTACCAGTGAGCATCTAAGCATTAATGCTGGATCCTGTTCAACAGATGTGAAGTTGTATAGACAAGTCATTGGATCTCTTCAATATCTTAGTTTTACAAGGCCGGATATTTGCTTTACCATCAATAAGCTTTCTCAATTCCAACATGCTCCGTCGATTTGACATTGGCAAGCAGCTAAGCGCTTACTCAGATACCTCAAAGAAACACTCACCTATGGACTTCTCATAAGACCCTCATCCACTACTGTGAGCACATAATTTTTGACCATGTTTGAATTTTTTCCAATTCCATCACGCCATTTAGCATATACCTTACCACCAAGACAATTATTCCCTCACAACTCACATTCCACCCTTACACTTTCCAACTCACATTCCACCCTTACACTTTAACTCCCATGATCCCCTCCACCATATGAGAAAACAACTCACACTCCACAAACACACATGAACAACATATAAAAAAGGGATGAAAAAGCAAGAAAAGTGGCAGCCATGAACTCCACTTTCGGCCATCCAAAAACAGCCATAAAAAGCCCCTCAAATCCATCACCAAAGGGCAGAAAAGAGGTCCTAAAAATCAGCTTCTAACATCATTAAAGGAGATACAACTTCAGTTCTATTTTGAACCCAAAAAAGAGCTGTAAATCTACCCCAAAACCAGGGCTCTTCTCTGTCCAAGAACAGCCTCATAACAGCCTCAAAACAACTGCAAACTCCAGCCCAAGAGAGCGAATCAGTTGCGAATCTGCTGAAAATTCAGTCCAAAAACCGGCGAAAAACTCCATTTAAAACACCTTAAAACAGTCCAGTGTTTCACATAGCGCAGCAACATTTTTCAAATTTGAGTTTCGTCGAAGTCGCCGGTGTAATTTCGTGGTTGAATTAGTAAGTTCGCGTGATAGAGCTCCAGTCAACGTCCTGCCTGCTTCCAAGCTTGTAGGTGTTTTTCATTGTAATACGACGTTGAAGATTCACAATTAACATGAAAGAATTTTCTCCATTGAGGTTAACCCTTCTACTTTCACTTAAATTTTTTATTTCTATTACATGTGAATATATCGTTTGAAGCATGAAATTTGTGTAAATTATTCAATGTGATATAGATTTTTGTTACTTGATTATCTTATTAGTTGTTCTATTGGTGTGGTTCTTGAATATCTTATCAGGGTTAGTTCTTTACTTTTAGTTAAAACATAAAACTTGCATGTTAACTAGACAATATAGGGTAGTATTTTAATAGCTAGAGTTTTCAAACAATTTATTGAGTAGCTACATTAGACAAGCTAGGCTTTGGGACGCAATAATTTCTGTTAGGCCCAATTTAATAAGAACAAAAGCTAACTCATTCTTCTCGATTATTCCATAACTCCTTGCTTCACGATACATCTCAAATGTAGTTAGGAAATAATTCATAAATGCATTAGAATGATTTAGGCACGTAGTAATAAATAAATTATCGTAATTACGTATACGTTCGTGTGACATAGTTATGATCCCACTAATAAATCAAGGTACGCGTTCGCGCAACTTCAGCCACACAATCCTAATAAATAATAAAAATTTTATTAATTGTGTACACGTATGTGTGACATGATTTTGACACAATAAACAAAACGGATTCACGTACGTGATTCATTTCAAAGATAATCCCATATTTTTTAATAATAAAAAGCGAATAGATAAAACATGAAAATCAAATAAATCATAGTTTATCCAAAATTAATTCAAGCCAAGTTATTGTCAATAAAGCGATCGTGCTAGAACCACGGAACTCGAGGAATGCCTTGCACCTTCTCCCCGGTTAACAAAATTCCTTACCCAGACTTTATTTTCGCAGACCAATAATAAAAGAGTCAAATTTTCCTTTGAACAGAGATTCAAATAAAAGGTGACTTAGAACACCCAAAAATGAATTCCAAGTGGCGACTCTAAACAATAAATAATCCCTACTTTAAAAATGTCACTTTAAATGAAAAAACCCGTTAACCCACAATCCGTAACGTAATTACTACATTATCTTTTGGAGGGGTAAAAAAGGAGTGTGACAGCTCTGGCGACTCTGCTGAGGAGTGATAAGAATTCGAGCTTGTACATGTTGACTTTTTTGGCTTTATTAATTGTGTAAATATTGTGATTTATTTGTGCCTAATGTGCTACTTGTTCACTTTTTACTGCTTCGATATTGTTGAGTTGTACATATAAACTGTCTTCTCACGCACCCCCTCTGAGTCTTCTTGAAATTAAAAATTGGGCATTTGCTTGACATAGCCCGCTTTTTTTGAGATAGCCGAGGTTCTTGTCACCCGGTGAAGGATTTTAGTCACACATGTTTTTAAGCGGTGAGCTCCACCAGTTAAGCCGGAAAGCAATGCTACAGGTACACTGACCCTCCTCGGCTCGAGTTATCCGCTCGAGTAAGTCAATCTAGATACCTTCTCCACCAAGATTTAAACCTAGAAAAACAAACCTCATGCCGGATGTCCCTAGTAGGTTCGCTTTATGTGCATCAGGTGCATTTGACTTAGCAAAACTTGGCATAGGGGCCGGGTCCATATAAGACAGGTATCCTCTTTGAGACCATCATGCTCACTTATGTGCTACTTGATACATCATTTGGAAGGCTTATTTGCATTGTTGACCGGCTTTAAAAAATAGTGTAATTATAAAAAAAATTGTAGTAGTCTGGCGCGAGGTGTAAAGATTAATTTTCATAAAAACCAAAAGAGAAAAGTACCTAGTTTGATCGAACTACGTGTGTCTAATTCCCACTATATGTGAGATACGTAAGTAACCCTCATCAGTTCCAGCCCCCAATTTTCCAAAAAAAAAATCCAAAAATATTTCTCTTTACTTCCTTCTTTAGAAAATAATTTCTTAGAGACCCCAGTTTTAAAAAAATTCAAAAATAATTTCTTCCTTTTTTTTTAGAAGTCTTTCTTCCACAAAAAAAAAAATCAAAATCAGAACTTTTTTTTTTCAAAAATCAAAAAAAAATAAATGAAAAAGAAAAAAATTGAAAATTCCAAAAAGATAGTTGAATTCCAAAATATTTTTTTTCTGCTTCACAAGTTTTTCTTTCGAAAATTGAAAGGAAAATTTTCAAAATTCAAAAATATTTTATTTCTTCTTTAGAAGTGTTTATTTCAAAAATTCCAAAAATAAAATTTTTAAAAAAATTTAAAAACAAAAAAATCTTTGTTTTAATTCTTTCTTTCAAAAATTCCAAAAATAAAATGAAAAAAAAATCGAATTTCAAAAAAATATCGCTCGTCTTTAGAAGCCTTACTTTCAACAATTCAATAAAAAAATTGAATTCTAAAAAAAAATAAAATAAAACTTTCTTCTTTTGAATCCTTTCTTTCTACAAAAAAAAAATCCAAAAAAATTTTCCTTGTTAGGAGCTTTCGTGGAGTTATTTATATATGAGTAAAAAACGAGAGTTAGTTTGTGTACTTTATTCCTGATTTCTCCTAAACTACATAATGATCTAATTCATGCGGCGTCATGATACGTAGGCAATCCATATCGGATTCGATCATATCCATAAACACATTGAGTGAAAAAAAATAAACAAAAAAAGGAAAAAAAAAGGAAAATATTGAAAAACAAGGAAAAAGAAAAAAATGAAAAAAAAAAGTGACAGAAACAGGAGAGAAGAGGGAGCCATGATAGCTTCTAGCTCGAGGGGGCGCCACAGGTCATTCAACCAATCATACATGCTTTCTATGGTCCCACAATACTATTATCCCCTTCAAGATGTTGCTTATGGTGTGGCACTGCCTCCCTATGCGGTAATGAATGCGCAACCCTACCCGCGGTCACAACATTATCCGCAAAACCGAGCTCTACTTCCCAGGAATGCCCATCCTTACCAAGCTCCATATAATCCTCAACCAAATGATACCCAACACAATCCTCGCCCAAGAGAGTCTTTCAGAAAGAATCAGTTCACCCCTATTGGTGAATCGTATTCAAGCTTGTTCCAAAAGCTAATCAGGCTAGATTTATTGCAGCTAGTGGCCCCAAACCGGTCGAACCCCGAGTCCCCCTCGCACCGAGTTGATGCTAGATGTGAATACCACTCTAGAGCAGTGGGACACAGTATAGAGGACTATTGGACACTCAAAATGGCAGTTGAAGATTTGATTGAAGCTGAAAGAATTGTTTTTAGGATGAAGAAGCTCTTGATGTGATGATAAATTTGTTGCCTGCACACAACAGTGGGCCAATAGTTGGAATGATTTGTGAAGATGAGGAATTTGATACGGCACTGAAGGCCGTTGCAGGCATTGCCGAGGTAGAAGAAAAGCCAAAAAAATGGTCGCCAAGCCTGAAAGTTCCCCATCAGATGGGAGTCTCTGTAGCCAGTCTTGCTATCCTTTTTGCGTCCGGATTATCTCAGGGTATGATCCGGATGTTTTACTTTATTCTCTTACTTTCCGATGTAAACCCTTCTATCTTCAAAAATTGAAAAAAAATCAAATGAAATTAATATTTCATTGTCGAGGAATATCTCTTTTCTTAGTCTTGTCACTTTTCTTATTTTTCTTTTCAGTTCTGTTAAATGCAGATTTCAATAACATGACATGCTTGCGGACTTCATGCCCAGATCCTGAAAAGCTGTCAGACCTCGAAGTAGATCGCAATGAGGATAATTTTAAGGAAATAAAACAAAGATTTGAAACAGCTAAAGCAAAATTGGTTCCAGATTGAAAAGGTCCATACATTGCAACAAGAGTACTGCCAAAAGAGTGCGTTGTACTTGGGATACATCGAAGGAAATGTCCTTGAAACAACTACCAATGCAAATGCAATCAAAAGGTACTATGTTGGATCCTCTTTATAGAATTAATGTTCTCCGGCTGGGATAAAGAAGGCTTTCTTTCTCACTATCCAAACACTTAACCCTTTGCAAACCCATTTGAGCTTGTTACTCTTCTTTAATTACCCTCTTTGGAACCTGAAAGTGTTATTGAAAAAAAATTGGAAAAATGAAATTAAAAAAAAAAAGAAGAAAAAAGAGGAAAAAAGAAAGGAAAAAGAAAGAGAAAACAAAACAAAACAAAACAGAAAAACAAAAGAAAAAAATCAAAAAACAAATTCCTGAACTACGTCCGACTTGATTCCGAAAGGATACGTAGGCAGCCTCTCTTTGGGGTTTAGTCACACACAAATAAAAGTCCAAATTCCCCCAAAAGTGAAACTGGGGCAGATGTTATAATGGTCTGGCAATGGTTCACCTGAAAGGTTCCAAAGTTGTAATTCAGTCCAAACTCTTTTTACCCCAAATCATGTTCAAGGCCTTCCAATCAATCGGTAAAGATGTCCAAAATTGGAGGACACAGCAACTTGGATCTGATTCAATCAAATAAGAGAAATAAAATGAGAGTCTTATTGGTAAAAACCCACACGGGCACCGTGAGGCGACAGAAAGAAAAGAAATAAAATAAGAGAGTCTTATTGGTGAAAACTCACACGGACACTGTGAGGCGACAGTAAGCAAAGAAATCAAAATGAGAGAGTCTTGTTAGTGAAGACTCGCAAAGAGCACTAAAAGGCTATGGTGAGTAGAGAAATGAGAGAGGTCAGCTCGTGAAAACCCGCAAAGGGCGCCCCTGATCGAAAAGAGGATTCTTACAGTCATCGGCATTGACATAGTCCTAGCTAGGTTTCTCGATTTTGAGGCAAACGTTGTGATGAATTTCGGAGAGTCGGATGGTTTACACAGATCAGGCGTCCAGTCCAAAAGGCATGTCATGTTCATTGAAGTCCGCATATACTCCAGATAAGTCCTTCTTTCCTTTCCCCGAAAGGGACCCTTCTTGTTTTAAACTCATTCTCCATTCTATTGTTTGTTTTCTTTGAATCCCTTTCGGCTTAACACTGTTCTGAAACTAAGACAAAGAAAGGATGGTAAGGCTGATTTACAGGGTTCTTATTTGATACAAGCTAATATGCAAAAAGGCATCCAACCTTGTCAGGGGGCATAAGTTGGCCTCGACTGGCCATGGCGGCTGATGCTTCGAAATCAAAACTCTTGGAAGGAGAAAATCAAATTGAAGTGCCTATAAAGGTAAATGAAGTTGAAAAGGTTGAGTCCCACGTGGCCAACCATCTCGACAAAAGTTTGGAAAGCCAAGGTCTCCAGAAAATTACAGAGCAGTCAAGCATCTTGGTGCCACGCTAATAGAATCGGTTCTTCGACAGCAGTGTCCATGAATCAAACTACCCAGGGCATCAAGGCCACAAACCAACCACCACTTTGAAAACTCACAAATTTTTCTTTGTTTGAAGCAGGAACAAAACATGCAGAATGGTGATTCTAAAAGAACGAATGTCACCAAACGTAAGCTCCTTAAAATCTACATTTTTCTTTTACTTTTGGCATACATCACTATTGTTCACACCTCTTATTTTTACGTAGTTTAACCCAGGTAGAACATTTTCGTCTAGGGGGATCCAGCTCATAGTTCCGGGTAGAAGTACTCTTCGCTCATGTTGTTTTTACATAGCTTAACCCAGGTAGAACCTTTTCCGCCTAGGGGGATCCAGCTCATATTTCCGCGTAGAAGTACTCTTCGCTCAGGTTGTTTTACATTAGCTTAACCCAAGTAGAACCTTTTTCGCCTAGGGGGATCCAGTTCATAATTTCGGGTAGAAGTACTCTTCGCTCAGGTTGTTTTTACGTAGCTTAACCCAGGCAGAATTTTTTCGCCTAGGGGGATCCAACTCATATTTCCAGGTAAAAGTACTCTTCGCTCAGGTTGTTTTACATTAGCTTAACCCAGGTAGAACCTTTTTCGCCTAGGGGATCCAACTCATAGTTCCGGGTAGAAGTACTCTTCGCTCAGGTTGTTTTACATTAGCTTAACCCAGGTAGAACCTTTTTCGCCTAGGGGATCCAACTCATAGTTCCGGGTAGAAGTACTCTTCGCTCAGGTTATTTTTACCTAGCTTAACCAGGTAGAACCTTTTCGCCTAGGGGGATCCAGCACATATTTCCAGGTAGAAGTACTTTTCGCTCAGGCTGTTTTACATTAGCTTAACCCAGGTAGAACCTTTTTCGCCTAGGGGATCCAACTCATAGTTCCGGGTAGAAGTACTCTTCGCTCAGGTTATTTTTACCTAGCTTAACCAGGTAGAACCTTTTCGCCTAGGGGGATCCAGCTCATATTTCCGGGTAGAAGTACTCTTCGCTCAGGTTATTTTTACCTAGCTTAACCAGGTAGAACCTTTTCGCCTAGGGGGATCCAGCACATATTTCCAGGTAGAAGTACTTTTCGCTTAGGTTGTTTTACATAGCTTAACCCAGGTAGAACCATTTCGCCTAGGGGGTCCAGCTCATATTTCCGGGTAGAAGTACTCTTTGCCCAGGCTTAGTTTTCGTAGCTTAACCCAGGTAGAACTTTTTCACTTAGGGGATACAACACATATTTCCGGGTAGAAGCATTCTTCGCTTAGGTTATTTTACATAGCTTAACCCAAGTAGAACCATTTCGCCTAGGGGGATCCAGCTCATATTTCCGGGTAGAAGTACTATTCGCCCAGGCTTAGTTTTCATAGCTTAACCCAGGTAGAAACTTTTCGCCTAGGAGGATCCAGATCCTATTTCCGGGTAGAAGTACTTTTTCCCCAGGCTTAATTTTCGTAGCTTAACTCAGGTAGAACTTTTTCACCTAGGGGTATCCAGCACATATTTTCGGGTAAAAGCACTTTTCGCTTAGGTTGTTTTACACAGCTTAACCCAGGTAGAACCATTTCGCCTAGGGGGATCCAACTCATATTTCCGCGTAGAAGTACTCTTCGCCCAGGCTTAGTTTTTGTAGCTTAACCCAGGTAGAAACTTTTTGCCTAGGGGGATCCAGCTCCTATTTCCGGGTAGAAGTACTTTTCCCCCAGGATTAGTTAAATCGTAGCTTAACCCGGGTAGAATCTTTTCACCTAAGGGATCCAGCTCCTATTTTCGCATAGAAATACTCTTTGCCCAGGATTCATTTTCGTAGCTTAACCCGGGTAGAACATTTTCGCCTAGGGGGATCTTGCCCCTATTTTCAGGTAGAAGTACTCTTTGCTCAGGCTTGCTTTTCGTAGTTTATTGAAGGTAGAACTTTTTCACTAAGAGGGATTCAACATTTTTCTGTAATACAGGGTGCCAACCCCTGGTTACATTCCTTTTCAGTCGTATAGTGTACCAACCCCTAGTTACATGTCCTTACGAGTATAGGGTACACCAATCCCTAGCTGTATTTTCCAACATAGGGTCTCCACTCCCTAGTTGATTTTATTTTAGACATAGGGTATCCACTCCCTAGTCTCTTTCTCCAACATAGGGTCTCGATTCCCTAGTTAATTTTATTTTAGACATAGGACCACCACTCCCTAGTCTCCTTACCGGTATAGGGTACACCAATCCCTAACTATTTTTTTTCGAATATAGGGTTCCCCACTCCTTAGTTGAGTCGAGCTTAAATGAAGGGTACACCATTCTCTGATATCTTTGTTAATACGGGGTATACCATTCTCTAGCCATGTTTTTTCAATATAAGGTACAACAATCCTTAGTTGAGACACCATTTAGACAATCAAGATACACCATTCCCGAAGAATCATGTTTTTCTAGGGTACACCAATCTCGACACTTTATTGCTTTTAATAAAGTAGTTTATAATTTTATTACAATAACTCGCGAACAGAAAAATTTCGTTCGTTTGTTTGTTTTGGTGTCTGAGTAGGTCTTACCTCAAGGTACAGGGTTCGAGATGACCAAAAGAAGTATCAAAATGGAGAAGTAGATGAAATAATGGGGATTGTTCAAGACATGACTGAAGTCATGAGCATTGAATTTTTCCGTTTAGATCAGAAGAAGTCGTAGAAGAATGAACTAGCACCTATAGCTAGCAAACATCAAGGTTCAGATCAGAGTCTGCGTGGAGAACCAGTCAAGACTCAAGGACAAGTTTCAGAAGACTCATAGATAGGAATCTTGTAACTCATAGCTGATAGGCTTGTTTAGTTTCTTTTTGATTTTTGATGTAATAACAGACTTACGGACCAGAGCCTCGACGAACCTCACTCGACTTCTCAACTTATCATTCCACAATTCTCCTTGAACTACATGCGACCTGATTCCCTTATAACCCGGGATATGTAGGTTGTCCAAAACCAGGACTCGGTTGCACCCTTTCTCTTTTTTCTTATCCTTATTTCTTCCATTTTGAATAAGATATGTTAAAAAATTAGTCACATGGCTCACATTATCTTTACTTGAAAACTCTTCATATTTTCAAGCAAAAAGGGGCATGCTGTGAGCACCTAATTTTTGACCATGCTTGAATTTTTCCCAATTCCCTCACGTCATTTAGCACATACCTTACCACCAACACAATTATTCCCTCACAACTCACATTCCACCCGTACACTTTCCAACTTACATTCCACCCTTACACTTTAACTCCCATGATCCCCTTCATCATATGAGAAAACAACTCACATTCCACAAACGCACATGAACAACATATAAAAAAGGGATGAAAAAGCAAGAAAAGTGACAGCCATGAACTCCATTTTCGGCCATCCAAAAATAGCCATAAAAAGCCCATTAAATCCATCACCAAAGGGCAGAAAAGAGATCATAAAAATCAACTTCTAATATCATTAAAGGAGCTACAACTTCAGCTCCATTTTGAACCCAAAAAAGAGCTAAAAATCTACCCTAAAACCAGCCCTATTCTCTATCCAAAAACAGCCCCATAACAGCCTCAAAACAACTGCAACCAGCCCTAAATTTTTTATTTCTATACATGTGAATATATCGTTCGAAGCATGAAATTTGTGAAAATTATTCAATGTGATTTAGATTTTTGTTACATGATTATCTTATTAGTTGTTCTATTGGTGTGGTTCTTGAATATCTTATCAGGGTTAGTTCTTTACTTTTAGTTAAAACATAAAACTTGCATGTTAACTAGACAATATAGGGTAGTATTTTAATAGCTAGAGTTTTCAAACAATTTATTGAGTAGCTACATTAGACAAGCTAGGCTTTGGGACGCAATAATTTCTGTTAGGCCCAATTTAATAAGAACAAAAGCTAACCCATTCTTCTTGATTATTCCATAACTCCTTGCTTCACAATACATCTCAAATGTAGTTAGGAAATAATTCATAAATGCGTTAGAATGATTTAGGCGCGTATTAATAAATAAATTATCGTAATTATGTATATGTTCGTGTGACATAGTTATGATCCCACTAATAAATCAAGGTACGCGTTCGTGCAACTTTGGCCACACAATCCCAATAAATAATAAAAATGTTATTAATTGTGTACACATATATGTGACATGATTTTGACACAATAAACAAAACGGATTCACGCACGTGATTCGTTTCAAAGACAATCCCATATTTTTTAATAATAAAAAGCGGATAGATAAAACATGAAAACCAAATAAATCATAGTTTATCCAAAATTAATTCAAGCCAAGTTATTGTCAATAAAGCGGCCGTGCTAGAACCACGGGACTCGAAGAATGCCTTGCACCTTCTCCACGGTCAATAGAATTCCTTACCCGGACTTTGTTTTCGCAGACCAATAATAAAAGAGTCAAATCTTCCTTTGTATAGGGATTCTAATAAAAGGTGACTTGGAACACCCAAAAATCAATTCCAAGTGGCGACTCTAAACAATAAATAATCCCTACTTCAAAAATGTCTCTTTAAATGGAAAAACTCTTTAACCCACAATCCGTAACATAATTACTACATTATCTTTTGGAGGAGTAAAAAAAGGGGTGCGACAACTGCCATACTTCAGGCTTACTCTGACGTTGATTGGGGCGGAATGATTGATACCAGACACTCAACTTCAGCTTATGTCATTCTTCTTGGGTCCAATCCTATTAGTTGGTGTTCAAAAAAGCAGCGAACAGTTGCTCGCTCATCCACTGAAGCTGAGTATCGAGTTGTAGTTGAAGTAAACTTGATTGTTAATCTCCTTAAGGAACTGCATCTTCCACCTAAGACTCCGCCAAAAATCCTATGCTATAATGTTGGAGCCACTTATCTCAGTCATAATCCTGTTTCCACAGTAGAACAAAGCATGTGGCCATGATTTTCATTTCGTCCGTGATCAAGTTGAAAGGAATCAAATTTATGTTCGGCACATTAGCAATGCCTCACAGCTTGCAGATGCCCTCCCAAAACCTCTACCTCGACGACCTTTCTCTGACTTTGTGACCAAGATTGGCCTCCAACCAGTGGAGCCAATCTTGCGGGGGCGTGATAAGGATAAGGATAAGCAGAGTTAAGATTCTCATTTGAATTCAAATTGTTGTATATATCTGCTAAACCTCTCTTCCACATCTACAAAACTCCTACTACCAATGTACTTTAAATATAAATGTACCCATTTACATGACCGAATAATACAAGTTGGAACACCAAATACTCACTGTTTTAACTCTTACTAATTTTTTCAGAAGCATCTGTCTACGAAAAATATGTACTTTCATAGAGGCAAGTCAAATTTCTGAAGACTGAGAAATTTTAAATACACTTCAACTGTTATGAAGTTGAACTCAAATTATAATTAATTAATTTGACAAGCATCTTTCAACAAACAAAAAAGAAAAAAAAGGAGAATTTCAACTATAATTAAGAGGATAGGTTTGGGAAAAGAACTCTTGGTAAGAAATTATCTCCTCATAAATGTTGGTACATCAACTTCATTTTAGATTTTTGAAATTCAAATAATATTAAAATTGTAGAATAATCATTGATGAAAATGGCGAGTGTCTAATTTACCTACAAGAATTTACACCTACAGGGAGTAATATTTAGTGTCAAGAATATTTTTTTTCCTTAAATATCTGATAGTTTTCATGGTCTTTGTCTCTTTGATAACGATCATATAACAATCTCCGACAAAATAATACAAGTATTTTAAGCAGTTTAAAGTTCCAGTTTATTCCAACTCTTTTCTTTAACTCAACTGTGAGTTCAATATCAAGTTGATATGTCTCAATTGATTCAATTTGTACTAAAGTTAGGATTTTCAGTTATTCATACAAATCTTAATTAATTTTAGTTTCAATCAAGGTTTAATTCCTCAAACAACTGGGGATCTTTCTCGTTAGCAAATTAGAAAGACTATTCAATATTTGCATTTTAGGAATTTTACGAAATTGTTAAGTGCCAAAGAGTTTTTTGATAAATAGAGTATTTCATTCGTGTCAAAATCAATAATATAAACGTATAGACTCAATAATTTGTTTGAAAAAGAAAAAAAAATATGAATCTGTTTCAAACAAGCTAAAGGTGAATAGGTAATGATGAATTACCATTCAATTTCTTCAGGTATATTATACTTTTGACTATTCTTCAGGTATATTATACTTTTGACTATAAGCATAAGATAATATATAATATACTGTTTAGAAAAGGTGATAGTATCATAAAGGGTTTGAGTGTCAAAGTCGTTCGAAAATAGTGACAAACTAGTTACCTAATTGTCTCCGAGGAAAGTATGAGCAAGGGATTGAAACCGAAGCCGAAAATTTTGGTATTTGATATTCAATATTTTAGTATTTGGTATGATATTTGATTTAAATTTATTAAAAACAATTGATATTAGGTATGGTATTTGGTATTTACAAAAACAATACCAAAATATATAATAAGTTACATAAATACACATATTATTGATTATAGCATACTAAGTTACATAATACTATTCTTTAGTATTCTAGGATGCAAAGCATCTTAACGTAATACTTTTACAGTTTTAGGAAGTTTCTTCTAGAGTATTGAATTGCATTTGTTGAATTAATCCTTGTTGTATTCTCTAACTTCACCAATTAGCTCTAAGCAAGTAACAAGACATTTTCAATGATTAAATTTATTTCTTTATGTACCTTTTTTCTCTCTATAAGTTCATACTTGCTGGTTTTGAATAAAAAATGTGTCAATAGTCATATGAGCCCAGAATGTTTTTCTTTTTATATGTGTGAGTACGTTAATTAAGAATATTACAGTCTATGGCTTTATCCACCATTTAATATTGTAAAAATTGTACGGGACGCCCTATTTGGTCGCCTCCATTTAACCTATTTTCATTTTTTTTAAAAGTTTTTATTTGTATCCACTTTTTAAATATATTCAATCTCATTTTCTCCTCCTCCTCATCTTCTTCTTCTTCTTCTTCTTCTTCTTCTTCTTCTTCTTCTTCTTCTTCTTCTTCTTATGAAACTTCAGTTCATGAGATGATTGTCATAAATATATTTATCAGATTATTTAAAAATAAATTATAAATAATTACGTAAGTTAGTAAATAATAATTTGTGAATATTTCCACGTACATAAGTTAGTAGACAATGATAATTCTGTTCTTTTCACATTTATTGTTTTCAAAATTTATTATTTAGATACTGTTGGCAATCTGATTATTTATCTAGTGTGTTAGAAAGCTTTTTCAAAAACTTCAGTTTATATAGTGCTGAAGTTTTTACAAATGAACTAAATAACTTCAGCATCTTCTGCTGAAGTTTTTGAAAAAGCTTTATGACAATACTAATGAATCCAGGACAAAAAAAAACTTCAGCCTTTAATGCTGAAGTTTTTACAAATGAACTAAATAACTTCAGCATCTTCTGCTGAAGGTTTTGAAAAAGCTTATCCAGGACAAAAAAAAACTTCAAGTTTTTATAAATGAACTAAATAATTTCAGCATCTTTTGCTTAAATTTTTAAAAAAAGTTAATGACAAAACTAATGAATCCAGGACAAAAAAAACTCCAGCTTATTTAGTGCAATTACAAACAAAAACTTCAGCAAATAGAGAACAAAATTTCAACTACTATGCTTAAGTTCAGCAATTACAAACAAAAACTTCAGCACACTTGGTTCAACACACTTGCTACTTCAGGCTCATCTACTAGAATGCTGAAGTTTTGCGTGATTGCCTTTGCTACTTCAACTCAGTATGCTGAAGTTACGCGAAAAAGTGGGTACGCTTGTAATTTTTTTGCAAAGCGGGCACAAGTTAAAACGTGACCCAAAAAGCGGGTATAGATGCAAATGCCCCGTTAATATTAAAACCGAATAAACCGAAGTTATTATACCAAATAAACCAAAATCGAAAGGAGGAAAGCCGAACATAATTAGGTATAGTATTAGTATAATATTTTAAGAAATTGAATACCAAAAATACCGAATCGAAATGTCTAAATACTGTACTATACCGACCGACGAACACCCCTAGCTTTAAGTGAGCATGTAACTCTGTCTCTTTCTGTTCTTTCGAAGCTGCTTCTCTCCTTTTCTGTTTGTGTTTTGCTGTACATTTAAATGTGCTAAGCATCGTGGGAGGGCTTAGAACAGGTTAAACCTCTCACTATCATAATTCATAAGAGTGAGACCATACATACTACACGAAATTACTGCTTTCTCTCAACACTGGCATAAATTAATAAATTAATTCTTACCATAATTTAAATGTCAGTAATTTACGTCAATAAATGATCTAAGCTCTTTTTCTCCCTTTATAGTAACATATGTATTTAAGGATAACACATTAATTCAAAAGCTTGAAATAACCAAACACTAGAAAATAAGCTGATTAAAGAAGATTTTATTCGTAAATGTTCTACATGGGCTGGTTACATTTCTCTCTGATCTGTTGTACTTAACAAGGCAAGAAACTTGGGTTCAACAGGGTCCACGAAAACAGGTCAGAAAAGGAACAGTTGGATAAAGTCAATGCATGAGTTTCCTAAAGAAGTGCATTTAACACTAATTGATAATAGCATTACCTCCTCTCCTCTCTTCCCAAATGTTTCACTTTTCACTTCATGAGTCGGACCATGTGATGTTTAACTAACAATTCAAAATGTTTAATGTGAATAATGACGAGATGCATGTCAAAACACTAGTTCATGTGGCACGCGACAATATTGTACAGAGAAGTCCCAAATTTAATTTAGTACCAGCAGGACCAAGATATTCAAAAGGATACTGAATAGAGGCAAACAAGAACATTATTATTTACAACAAGAAATTGTATTTCATAAATCAGTAACTCACTCATCGTTCTCTGCAGTAGTCATAACATCCCTGATAGCTACTGAATTCCGTGAGACCTTTAACAAGTTAAGAACATCAAAACTTCTGTCTCTGACGAGCCAACTTATATGAGCTCAGCTTCAAATTTAAGTTCTTTATCACACTCTGCCAGCTTGTGTCACAAATGGCTATTACTGTTGGAAAGGATTTGGAAAAAGCAAAATTCATGGAAGAATAACAGTGCCTATTTTTCACCCAAAAAGGGGAACAAAATACTAAGCTCTGAGTTTTGGAGAGGCAAAGGAGATCTCATTCTGAAACAGCCCTCTTTCACTTCGTGCTCGATAATTCAAAAGAAAGCCAGTGCTAGTAGTCCAAAATGGTAAAATCATATCGTTTTATCTGGAACGAGGAAATACCATGTTGGATACTCCTTAACTTTTAATTAGGATCTGATGTTCGAACTCCATGCCTTTTGAAATACTCACGAAATCCATAAGCACTGAGATCATAGTTGAACTGAAATTAAAAGTAGTTTAATAATCAGAACCACTTCAAACACAAGACAAGGACTCTCAAACTCGGGTTTATACACAGCTTTCCACCAGTGCTTAATCTGTTATCCATGACATAGCTCTCACACAGATATAGTATGATCAGTGGAAATCGGGTAGAAAAGTAAGATTACCAGGGCAGAAAACCTATCCAGCCGATGTATGCAGGGGCGAATCTACGTTAGGCAAAGTGGTGTCACTCGACGTCACTTCGTCAGAAATCTTTACTAAATATATATAATGTTTTCATATAGAATATACAAATTTGCTATATATAAAGTAAGCGACACCGCTGGACAGCAAGTGCATGACTCATGGTCTGCTGGTCAAGCACCCAATTGTGCACACGAAAGTCCAAGGTTCTAAACTTTATTGCAGGCAACAGAAGTGGTTTTAAAGTTTTTAAGCCTCTTTTGTTAAAACGTAAAGCCCCATTTGTATTAAAAAGTAGAGGCTGTAAAGATTCGAACAACAGACCACATTTTCATCAGTAATAATCG